GGTGTTTCGGACTAAGTAGGCTATTGAGAAAGAAAATCCTCTCTCGACGAACAAAGACCAAACTCTACAAGTCTCTCATTATTCCCTTTCTGCTATGTGGTCTAGAGGCGTGGACGATGATATTCTGTGGAAGATTTATGGTCCTTTGCGTGTTGGCCGCGGCGAATTTCGCATTCGATGGAAAGAGGTATGAGATATATGTGTATGAGTCGTTCGTATGGAAGGGAACACTCCAGCTCTGAAAGTATTTGAGGCAGTACCCGCAGAGAAAGAGGAAGACCACCACTCCGTTGGAGAGATCAGGTGGAGAAGGAACTGGCTGCACTTGGTATTTCTAATTGGTGTCAAATTGCAAGAAGAAGAAACCACTTCCGCGCTATTGTTAACTTGGGTATAACCGCGTGAGCGCTGTTTACGCCAGTACGAAAGAAGAGAATGAGTGAAGGAATAAGCTTTTAAAAAATAAAGATATTTAAGACCATTTTAAGTATAAAAGCGAATTTTTGGTGCCAGCATGCACCTCGGCTCTGAAGGCCATTCCGGAAAATGCCTTCCGTGACGCCTTCAATGATTGCACTGGCAACGCTGCATCGACGCAGAAGGAGCCTGTTTTAAAAGTTTTTAAAGAATTGTAACGATTGGTTCAATAAATTTTTTTAAATCGTCTCGGTCCTATTACTTTCCGGACAACCCCATATACTTATATAGCTCGTTCTAATACCGCAGTCGAGAGAGTCAAGAAATGTTCATGTTATTATTGTGCTGGATTATTATCATTTTTGCCTTGAAGGAGAAATTAACATAATCTACTGTGGGGTAAGGTAGCTTGCTGTCTTTGGCAATGTGTTAAGTTACTTTAAATCCAGTTAAGTTATTGGGTTTTGATTGGTGTTTTTTGGCAAACTTCTTAGAGACTCGACGCTGAATATTATGGTATTAAGGTGTTATGATAGCGAACTTCAAGCAACGCTTAAATAAAAGGGAACTACATACACAGAGCTTCACCAGAAATGAAAAAAACCTAGCTTAACTTAAGTCGACTTAAACTGATTTAACATGTTGCCACGGATATTTGTTCATATAAACAGCCACGAAATATTCTAATGGAGTAAAATATGTATGTACATATGCATGTCATTCCAAATTGGTTTCTATGCAATTACAGTTTTGTCAATAAGAATTTCAATGCTCGAAATTTCGATGCATTACACTAATTTCTCCAGTCTGCAGTCTGACAAGTGAATCCTAAACGTTACCACCGAATTTCCGCATCACATTTAGCATTTGAAATGCTTTGCTGGGCTGTTGAGGATAAAAATTTATTATCGCGCTTCCCTAGTATATATGCAAAAACGGAATCTGTTAAAGAGTTAATGTTGAAATCGAGTATACCCATTGTGAGTGCAGTTCTTGTGTATTAAAAGTCATAAGCAATAATAAAATCAAAAACCAAAACATTTCAAACACCATAAAAAAAATACGCATCATTAAAACCATGAAGTATCATGCCACATCATATCTCGAGAATCGCATCTTCGATCATCGTCTGGTCAAAGACAACCTGCTGGACAAGTGGCCCACCGAGAACAGCACCATGCACGAGTACATTGAGCGCAAGGACCACAGGAATCTCGCAGAGTCATATGTATCGCATAACATTTGTATCATATTCATACCATATACAGTATATATAGTAATCACCTTAACACCCCCGCATTATAGAAATATGTTTTCGTTGCTCACCCATACACTGTAGCTCCAGTTTATACGCAGTGAAAATAATTTTTGTAGTTTTCAATTTTTGACGATTTTCATAGTTTAATTTTGTTGTTTGAAAAATCATCAGTTTTTTATGATCCTTTGTATAAAATTGTTTTGTACTTCAGTTAGTTGAAAAAATTGCGAAAAAAAAATTAATTCATTCATTAAAAATGAGCACGAAATTTGAACAAACTGTGATGTATTCACAATTGCAGCCATGGAGTACGGCTGGTGCGCCGCCTTGCATGGAGCCTGTCTCGGGGCCGTCGGTACCACCGCGTGTTGGCATATCGTATCAGGTTAGCTCGCATCCGACTGGCGTACGCTGCAGTTTATTTATTTTTGATTTTTTTTTTGTCTTGTAAAGACCAATCATCCGCATCCATGGCGACCGACATTGGCGTACGAAATGATTGAGGTCAAGAACTTAGCTGAGCAACCAGTAACCAATCAGTTAGTTAAGCCATGCTTCTCCCCCTCCGGCATGACTACAGAGCCCATGAACTTTCCCAACTTGGTGACGGGTTTCGAACGCAATCCACAGCACGCTGCGCGTGCGGCACTCTTCACACGCTACACCAACAACGAATGGGTTAATAGCAATCTTACCAAATATGCCGAATCCAATATAAATCGGTAAGTGCAGGCTAACGAAAAAAAAAAAATTAAGTAGATGTTCCGTCATTAACAAATAATTCTCAACAAATAGTAATCAGTCGGAGCGCTTGCGTAACGATGCCGTGCGTTTAATGCGCGAAACCGATGAGAAGACTTCGCAAGGGCAGCGTGATGCCGGACGTCGTTTAGGTGAACGCATAACGGACGTAACATTCTGGCGCAACGAGTTGAATACCGAGCTGGATAAATTGGTTTCGGAATCTGCGGCAATTTCCGATCTAAAGCGCCGTTGCGGCAAAGCCATGTTGGACTTAGAGGCGCCTTTGCATATAGCCCAGGAGTGCTTGTATCATCGTGAGGCGCGTGCGGGTGTGGAGAAGGTGCATGATACGGCTGAGAAGGCGCTGTTGTTAGAGATCGACAATATACGAAATTCGCGCGATAAGCTCAAGGAACTACATGAAAAGGTGAACTAGTGATATGACCGTTATTTTAAACGAAATCAATTGCAAGAGTTTTTCTAGATCACACGGCAAGCTAATGACTGCCGTGCCGCTCAGCACTTGCTGGAGGAAGATGTCTCGCACAAAGAGTCAACACTGGGTATTGACTCCGTTTGCCATCAGTTGAATAATTATAGCCGTGGCATCACTTACTATGGTGGCATTGAAAAATATGATCCGAGCATAAGCACACAAGAATCATGGGCTGAGGCGAGCAGTCAACGCGTTAGCAGGTTGATTTGGACTTTTAACTATTTTCTGATGCAATTATCTTATCATTATGTGTCACAGATCTCAAGCTGAGCGCGCCAAGCTCTCTCAACTACGCAGCGATGCCGAAACTATTGTTAATGCCATTGCTCAATCCGTCTGGGATCATTGGAGTAACACGAATAATGCTTTGGATCGTCGCTCACAAGAGATGAACGAGTCCAAGAATAAGATACAGTTACATTTGCATAAGGTGCAACAGGAATTATTCGATCTGGAGAAGCACATTTTCTTAATACAAAAGGCGATACAAGATAAATCGAATCCTTTGAAGGTCGCACAAACGCGTTTGGAAGCGCGTTCACATCGCGAAGGCGTGGAGCTATGCAAGTGAGTAAATGTAAAGAGTTGGGACTGGAATGGAATTGCAGGCGTTATGCACATTTCTATCAATGAAATAGGTTATTGAGAATAATAGGGTTATATCTATAAAGCATGTGTACATATGTATGTATGTAAAATCATAGACTTTAATTAAACATCTTTCTTATTTTCTAGGGACTGGGCTCAATTGCGGCTGGTACAAGAAGTGCAAGATATACAAGATACCGTTAAAAATCTACATCACAAGTTGCAGGAAGCTGAGGCTCAACACCAGAATTTACTAAAAACCCGTTCAACATTGGAGGCGGATTTGCGACGCAAAGTGAATGCCTTGTTTATAGATCGTGAAAAGTGTATGGGACTTAGACGCTCGTTCCCCGTAAATAATTTGATAAAATATTAAATTGCAAATGTTGGAAAAATTGCTAGTTTGTAAATGCAAGTGAATAAGTGGAAAGCAGAAAACACATAAAAAGTGTTGGTCCATCTATGTCAATAAAATGAATAGTAATTATTTGGAAAAGATAACTAATATTTATTTCTGATAAAAAAAAAAAAAAAAAAAAAAAAAAAAAAAAAAAAAAAAAAAAAAAAAAAAAAAAAAAAAAAAAAAAAAAAAAAAAAAACGAATTTTTAGTTTGAGGCGTTTACAAAACATTCGATATGTTTCCTTTTTCGAGAGAAGAGTGTTAATCAGCTGATGTTTGTTTACATATTGCTAACGCCAAAAGCGAATTTAAATTTGGAATATGCAAGCTAGTAAATATAATAAATAATGAAAATATTATTAAAACTAAAGATTTAATGAACTGAAAACTAATTAGTTGAGATATCTTAATTTAAAAAAATTAATAACAACAAATCACGGTATGCAGAACCTCCCTCTATCATTATTATAACTCCATAGTTTTCGAACTAATGCAACACTGCCATTCAGTTAAATCGTGTAGCACAACGAAGAGAAGTCAAAGTTCCGTTACTTGTTGAATTGCGGGAAAAGTTAACAATTTTGATTAATTCGTTTACATTTTAGGTTAAGTAAAAAGTGTGAATTTAGAATGAATTTATAAGAACATATTTGGCGAAAATCCAACAATATTAGCTTCATTAAATCAGAGTAAAATTATATTAGTTTTCTTTACAACAAAAATCATATTTTATGTAGAAAACGTTAAAGCAAGTGATCACAACTAATAAAATGTGATAGTTTTTAATTACTCGAGCATAAATGCACATACAAAATTAATGAATCAGATATAAATGCCTAAAAGTATGCAACATACTATATATCTTTGAATGTTGCCATATTGTTTCTATTAATATATATTTTTTTTATAAGTGCACATAATCCTACTTGAATGTGAGTTAAATAAAAAGCTTGTGCTTTATGAAGATTTGCTAAGATATAATAAAGTATAATTATAGTTAAAATTGCAAATATCCATATGGATAGAAATTTTTTTATATGAAAATGTACTGCCTGTCAAATCATTCCTTCAAAATTCCCCCGGCCGTTGTGTGACATGCAACACTTGCATTATTGCGGTATTATATGTGTGTGCAAGTCTGCTGTCAGCCAACAAACAGCAAATTTTCATAATCCCGTTGCCGGCAATTGTGAAAAATTAATAATTTAAAGAATTAGTGAAGATTGTTTAAAGATTAAGTTGTGATTGCGCGATTAACAAAGCACCGCAGAATAGTTGTTGATTCGGTAAGTAAAGATATAGTTATTAAATTATTGTAATCAATTATTGTGCGTATTGATTTGTTTCCGTTTGATGAACATATTTTTTTTAATATTTCCAATGCCACACGAATTTTATGTTCCTTACTGCAATTATAGACACATTTTACAAACTATCCATACTATATACGATTATTTGCATAATATACTAAAGATTTAATTACCTTAGCGAAAACTATTCTTTGTCTGACGTGTCTTTAAGTGTTTTTATTGGTATGTGCGTACATATGTATGTATGTATGTATATACATAAATAGTTATGTGCTATACAAAGTACTTTATTAAAGAGTTACTCTTGATATCTCTAAATAAATATAACATACTTGTCGTAAAGTATGAAAAAAATTCCTATAATTAAATTATGCGCTACAAATTAAACTTTTCATTGTTGTGGGCTGGCAATTTATTTGAAAGGCAATTAAAATACCGTACAAATATTTTAAACCTAACATTGTGGGGATTTCTCTAGCGCTTGCAGGAACGTTGCATGAAAGCCAAAAGTCTAACACCAAAATTATTTTTTTTGGCCGTTGGGAATTATTTGTGAACCGAATTGGAAAATTTGCCAAAATATTTATTTTTGTATTAATACAACGAAAAAAATATACTTTCTGCTAAATATAGAAAATCATAAGCGAATTATATATTATAAAAAATGAAAGATTTATGTAATTGCGATGCACCGTTTCAGTAGCTACTTCAACATGCGTTTGGCAATATTTCTTTTAATATTGTGCATATTCGAATATGCGGTCAGCGTTGACCACACTAATTTCAAAACATGCGAACAAAGCAGCTTTTGCAGGTAATTAAAATAATTATGCATCGTAAATTTCTTTCATCGTCAATAAATCATTAATATGCTCTATTTATAGGCGTTGCCGCAATGTAAAGCCTGATAATCCAAAATTCGCTTTGGTACCTGGTACGCTCAATACATACTCCGATTCTATAACTGCGGAACTGCAACATAAGGACAATAAGCACATCTTTACACTAAAAATAGAAGCTTTGGAGGTAGAAACTAACTTTTAATTTGAATTGGCTTTTAATATCCCATGAACGTGAATGATAAATTTTTCCAATCGGACCATTATTGCATATACATATGTAGCTACAATATATACTGACCGATCAAAATTGAATTCTTGTATTTGTCAAGCGTATTATATAATATATTCGGTCCAACCGAAGTTAACATTTGTTTTTTCCATAAACAATTATCTCTTAACAGCTGGGCAATACATTCCGTTTGTTAGTGGATGAGAAAAATCCTTTGAAGCCCCGCTACCGTGTAACAGATGCACTTAAATCGGCACCGAAGCCTGGCAGGTATGTTTTTGACCAAATACAAATACTTGCAAGTTAAATTTTCTCCATTCCTTATCGTATAGCATTAAGGTGCAAGAGGGTGAATCTGAATTCACTATTACATCGGGTCCCAATAAAGCTGTGGTCAAAGCCGATCCATTCCGTGTTGATTTCTATCAAAATGACGTTCTCACCGTCTCGGTTAATGCTAAGGGTCTTATGACTTTTGAATATTTGCGTCCGAAGCCACAGCAACCAGCCGAGGGTGCTAACGATGCTGCCGCTAATGAAGTGAAGGAAGCGGATGAAATCACAGAAGCTGGTGCTTGGGAGGAGAACTTCAAATCACATCACGATTCAAAACCATACGGACCGGAAGCAATTGCACTCGATTTTACCTTCCCAGAAGCAGAGGTGCTATTCGGTTTACCCGAACATGCCGACTCGTTTGTTTTAAAATCCACCTCTGGTACAGATCCCTACCGCTTATACAATACCGATGTATTTGAGTATATACTCGATAGCAAGATGGCGTTGTACGGTTCAGTGCCGGTGCTTTATGGTCATGGGTATGGTTTTGTCTTTTGTTTTACCAAATAAAAAGCGCGTGTGACATATTTAAATCATTTATTTAGTACGCAACGCACTGCAGGTGTTTATTGGCAGAATGCTGCAGAAACCTGGGTTGATATATACACTGCGGAAAAGAATGTTGTATCGTCGATCGTCAACTTCGTGTCAGGTAAGTTAAAATCGGTATACGTGCGAACTAGTTACTAGTTTTTGATGTATTCTCTTGCAGGCTCTCGCAAGTCGGATCCCCTAGCGGCGCACTTCATGTCTGAATCCGGTATTATAGATGTATTCGTTTTGCTGGGCCCAACGCCACTCGATGCTTTCAAGCAATATACTGCACTTACTGGATCCGCACCTTTGCCACAAATGTGGATGCTGGCTTATCACCAGTCACGATGGAATTACAATAATGAAGGTGATGTTGCTGAGGTGTCCGCCAAATTCGATGAATATGATATTCCAATGGACACACTGTGGTTGGATATTGAACATACCGACGGTAAGCGCTACTTCACCTGGGATCAGTTTAAATTCCCCAATCCACTGGGCATGATTCAGAATTTGACTGCCGTTGGACGTCATTTGGTGATCATTGTGGATCCACATATAAAGCGTGATACACACTATTTCTTCCACAACGATTGTACGGAACGCGGTTATTATGTAAAGACGCCAGAGGGCAACGACTACGAAGGTTTTCTTTAATGTTTCATATTATTTTATAAACATTATGTAATATATATGCCTTTTTATATAGGTTGGTGCTGGCCCGGTGCTGCTAGCTATGCGGACGTTTTCAATCCTGCCGTGCGCGCCTATTATGCTACTCAATATTTGCCATCGAATTTTAAGACTATTTCTACCGATGTCATGATCTGGAATGACATGAACGAGCCATCGGTTTTTAATGGCCCCGAGGTAACTATGCCAAAGGATATGGTGCATTATGGCAATTGGGAACATCGTGATGTACATAATATTTATGGACACATGTATGTGTTGGCCACATTCGAGGGCCTGATCGGTCGCGATCCAAATCAACGTCCTTTCATATTGACACGCTCTCATTTTGCTGGCACACAACGTTATGCTGCAGTTTGGACTGGTGACAATATGGCTGAATGGGGTCACTTGCAGCATTCCATTAAAATGTGTCTATCTGAAGCTATTGGCGGTTTCTCTTTCTGCGGTGCAGATGTCGGCGGTTTCTTTGGTAATCCTGATGCTGAATTATTTGAACGTTGGTATCAAACCGGCGCGTTCTTGCCATTCTTCCGTGCTCACTCACACATCGATACAAAGCGTCGTGAACCGTGGTTGTTTACCGAAAAGACACGTTTGATTGTACGCGACGCTTTGCGTAAACGTTACTCGTACTTACCGCTATGGTACACGATGTTCTATGAACACGAAGTGACAGGCGAACCTGTCATGCGTCCCCTACTAGCGCATTATCCAACGGATAAAGAAACTTTTGCCATTGACAATGAATTCCTCTTGCAAGATCGCTTGCTTGTGCGTCCCGTTATGGATCAGGGTGTTAAAAAAGTGAATGTTTATTTCCCGGCAATCGATGACAAAAAGAACGGTGATGTATGGTATAGTGTCGACACGTTTAAGAAATACACGAATGTTGGCTATGAAGGCATTTCCGTCGAAAGTGATACGGTGAGTGTGCAGTAAGTGCTAATCAGGGTTGCAAATTTTTTTTTTGTTCAAAAATTGTTAGATCTTATTTTTTAATACCGATACATGAGGTTCGCAAAACCGAAAAAATTTAAATTCTTAGAATTTGAAAATTATTTTTAATTAAGATTTTCGGATCACAAAAATAATTTAAATGTTAATTAATTTTTT